TCGAGGGATGAAGAGCCCGTGATGGTGGAGCCTGACGTTCCCTTTGACGCACCTCCACGAAGTTCCAAGAAGTCCTCAGGTTTCGCTGGCCTCTTCAGTGGTTTGCGAACGCCGAAGACTGAACGACCTGACCCCCTGCGACGTCGCAGCACCTATGCGACAACTGATGACGAAGCCTTGCGCAGCGCCAAAATGGATGGTGATGCAGTATTAGTAGATGCTGACCGGGAAGCAAGGAGAGCTGCACGCAGGGCCAAGAGGGCTGCTGAGAGCGGTCCTGATCCCGAGGAAGCAGCGCGTCGAGCTCGAGATGAGATACGCCGTGAACGACGTCGACAGCGCGAGGAAGAAGCCGATCCTACGAGGCAAGACAAAGAGGCCCGACGTGCTGAACGCAGACGACAGCGTGATGAAGATGCACGACGAGCCCAGGAGGAGCGACAAGCGCAAGAAGAACAACAACGACTGCAAGAGGAAAAGGAGGCACAAAGAGCCGAACGTAGGCGCTTGCGTAGAGAACAGGAAGCAGTCGCTGCCGCAGAACAAGTCGAAGATGAAGAGGCTCGTCGAGCTGCCAAACGCGAGCGCCGTCGGCGCGACACAAAGCGGGCTGCTCGAGGTGCAGAAGAGGAGGAAGGTCGTCAGCGACGAAGTCAGCAATCTGCAGACGAATATAACCAGCGGAGATCCCATCGTCGCGAAGAGAGACCGCAGGCTCCAGCTTGGCCTCATTCTGGGACTTCATCATGGGTCAAGGAACACTCTGACGCACCCCCTCCTCCTGACCTCGGTGACGGGGGTGAAGCAAATGGTGGACAGACCGAGGACGAGATGGCAAGACGTGAAGCTCGTCGAGCTCATCGATCGAAATACGAGGAAGAGCCCACAGAAGAGACCGAAGATCGGCGAAGGCGACGAGCAAGGCGAGACGATCGTGAGCGCGGTGGTCGAGATAGAGAACGTCACCGAGATAGGCGCTCGGAAGGTAGCGACGAGCGACATCACAGCCGTCGAGCGTCAACCTTTATGGAGGCAACAACAACACCTCGCACAAGTTGGTGGAAGAAGATCGCTGGATGAGCGAACGAACGAACGATACATGAGAGTCTATTTCAAGCGAGCGTGTTTGCCAATGCTATTTGAATGTTTGTCACTACTTCATGCATTTCGTTGTGGTGATCTTGTTTTTGTAACCACGTTCTATGTCAACATGACACCAACATAGATATGGTCGGTGTTTAGGTTTGGCTTGGCATTATCAATTCATGGCATATCTGGGACTGGTGCTTTGAGGATATTCTAGCATTGGATGTTGATCTTGACTGGTACGGTATTTGAAGTCTGGATAAGTATGTACTTGGACTGTATAGGTAGGTATGCTGGATATAGCGAACTGTTATCCTACATGTACCCGCAAGGCACGATGTAAACTCAATGAATGATTTTTTTGTTTAAAATTTGCTCGTTATCAAAGCCGAATACTTCGATGCATGGCCATCTAACTTAGACTGTTGGAGGTCTCTTTGTGTCGGTTCTAACAAGCACATTAATTACTGTCCACTACCCCAAGGCAAAGGGCATTTCCCACTTTATATGTCAATTTTGGCCATCTTCCTGGCTATACTAACGCCACTTCTAACTTATGGAAGTACACGAGTTGGGGTTACCTGATTCAATCCAATTCACATGATAATTAAACTGAATTCCTTGGATGACTTCTTCACGCAATGACAGAGGTAATTCCAAGATAGCCTGTCCCTTGTCCTAACCATCCTGGAGTATCCTCCCTGGCCTCGAGGTCCATGTCTCACTCCACTTACCACCCACTAACCTTAGTACATGCCACTCCCAAGTTGCGCTGACGACACCTCAACCTTCAAGCCAACGTTCCCCTGCAAACCACCACCACCACCGAACTACGACTACCTTACACACCTACCTTAGTACATTGCAGCTGCAGTGCAACCTGGTCAACTCAAGCGCCGCCCCCCAAGCGCTACATCGACTTCTTCTGCAGCACATCGATGAGGAGACCACCAGCGATCACGTCAATCAGTTGACGACCGACAACGACGAGCTGTGACCCAACACCTCGGGCGCTCTCGTCATTCGACCATGACTGCGCCGGGCAAAGGGTCGCGATGGGGAGCGTTCCTCTCTTCGGCCTTCGAAGGCGTCGAGAATCGTCTCGACAACTTACTTGACGAAGACCAACAGGCAGCACAAGGATATGAGCAGCAGCAGGGAATGAAGGCGGCGCCCGCGTCCGCGCCCTCGCCATCACCAAGCCCCAAACCGACTGCATCTGGTATGCCTCTCTTTTCTCCTCGGCCGTGTTCTGGTACGGGTAGAACTGTCGCATGCTGACTTATTGTTCTTTATAGCTGTCGCCCCGAAACCTAACCGTGCCAATGATCGTCTACAAGCCAGGTTGGCCAAGGCTATGGCCTCGCGAACCTCACAATCGTCTCCTCGCAGCTCCATCGATACTTCTCGTAGTTCGGTTGACAAGGAGCGCCCTGCTAGCACTGAGCCCGTAGTGGTGAGACAAAGCATCGAAGTGTCGGAAATCAAGCCAACTGAACCCGCCAACCAAGTGGACAAGCCAAAATCTTCTGACAGCCCAGCTTCCCGATCTTCAGCTGAACAACCAGCGACATCTGAGGGAAGCGATAGCAGGGAGATTAGTGAACAAAACTTCAAGCATGATTTCCCTACCCCGATTATCGTTGAGCCGCCTTCTGAGGCCGAACCTCGAAGTGCACCAGAACAAGTTACGGACGAATCCGGCATCCCGCAAAAATCGAATAGTCCAATACCAGATACCAGGCATCCTGTAGAGGCACCACAGATCGTAGATGCTCCGGTTGAAGAGTCACAGAAAGACCAGGACGGCACTCAAGCTCACGCGCCTCGTTCAGAAGAGATTCAAGACTACATTGAGCAAATCGACTCACTACAAGCTAAACTGCAGTTTCTATCTAAAAATGCCGCGGATGCAGCTAGGCAGACTGCAGGTTCTGCTGAAGCGGGCAGTGTAGAGCGCAAATTGGCCGAAAAGGATGAGAAGATCGCGCTGCTAATGGAGGAAGGACGAAAGCTTTCAACATCAGAGCAAAAGTTCCGAACAACGGTTCGCAAGCTGCGCACCCAGATTATAGACAACGAGAAACAGGCCAATGAACTCAGAAAAGGTAAAGAAAAAGCTCTAGCCGAGGTGGAATCCTTACGTAGTCGAATCAACAACAAGGAAGAGCAAGAGAAGAGGAATGAGGAAGTGCGAAAAGCGAGCGCTACGCTTCAGAAGGAAATCGACGCCCTGAAGAAAGACAAAGCTGTCAAGGAGGAGGCCTATCGACGTCTGGAGCAAGAATCTAAAGCCAAGGCCGAGCAAATACAAGCCGCCCACGCTGAGGCATTGAAAAAGGCGCTAGATGTTGAGAAGAACAAACAGCAGGAACTTGACCGTACTATCGCATCACTACGGTCAGAAAAGGAGGCATTGATTGAGAAATTGCGCCTGACTGAGGTTGAGTGGCAAGAGAAGTTAGACCGAGCATTAGAACGTGGTCGGAATATTGAAGAAGAACTGAAACTTGAGCTGAGAGCGACTGAGGGCAAACTCGAGGCAATGAGGGTGACGGCCGAGGAGGCCTCTGCAGGATCTGGTGGTGACATCAAGTTGATACGACATATCGAAACCCTCCAATCGCAGTATGCATCGGCCAGCGAGAACTGGCAAGGTATAGAGACCTCACTCCTGACTAAGGCTGCCAGCCTTGAAAAGGAGAGGGACGAAGCACAACGACGAGAGTCAGAAATGCGGAAGAAAGCTCGTGACGCGGTAAATTATATATTCTCAACAGTAAAAAAGGGGGAAGATGGCTGACACCTTCAACAGGCAACTCGTTATAAGCGACTCGAGGATGAGCTTCAGGACGTCAGTCCAGCTCTCACAGTCGCTCGGCAGGAGCTCGAGACATGTCGTGAAGAGCTTGCTGCTCTCAGAGTCCAACACAAGACCGTGGAGACGGCCCTTGAACAGGCACGCAACGAGCTCGAGAAGCAACAGCGAGCGGCGAGCAGGGAGGTTTCGGCCGAGGCCGAACGAAGGCAATGGGCAGACGATATTGCTATAAGCACACCCCGGTCTCAGAGCCGACCCGATTCCCCACTGCTCTCTGTTGCCCGGACCTTTAGCTCGGACTTCATCGGGCTTCCTGTACCAGCAAGACAGCCTCGTCGAGTACCCACACCGGGAAGCCAAACCGAAAGCGCCGGTGATGGCTTCTTCTTTGGACGAAGAATGTCCAGTCAACCTCCTCGCCCTAGTGCTTTGTCCACGGCCGGTCATGCGATACCTCCTCCACCCCCTTTCTCGCCCTTTGAGCCACCCACTGAGTCACCACGCGCCGTATCACCGCCACCAGATCGTGATGATGGTCTAGATGACGGTGACCCTTCGTCTCCCCGCAACGTTGCGCAAGACATGATTTCGGTATCAACAGTCGGGGCTGGTCCTTCCGTTCAACTCGTCGAGAGAATGAGCGCTGCAATTCGACGACTGGAAGCCGAGAAGGTGGCTGCCAAAGAAGAGATGGCTCGTGTATGCAGCCAGCGAGACGAGGCGCGATCTGATATTGTGAACCTGATGACAGAGCTGGAAACACAAAAAGTCGCTTCAGCGCGGGTAACAGAGTTAGAAGCGGAAGTAGAGAACATCAACTCGCGATACCAGACAACATTAGAGATGCTGGGTGAGAAGAGCGAGCTCGTTGAGGAGCTCAAGGCTGACGTTCAGGACGTTAAGGACATGTATCGCGAGTTGGTGGAACGGACCGTGATGAAGTAAGAAAAGGGGAGAATTTTTTTTTTCTTTCTATTTTACTTCGTTTATCTTCTGCCTTGTTTTCGTTGCTTTCTCGTGTTCGCATCTTAAACCCGGGAAAAGTCGTGATGTGTAGCACCTTTTTTCACTTTCTTCCAGCATGTATTCCTAGCTACCCTGGCAACTCGATACCCTCACGTTCTGCGCCTTGTAAGACATATCGGCGTACCTGTTGACAAAGAGACAGAGTTAGATGGGAGTTTATAGAGTGGTGCGAAGAGAATAGAGCCAAGAACTCCGTGTTTGTTGTGTTGTGGAGATATACATACTTCTTTATCTGGTGCCAGATCAAGTGCTAGCTCATCCGCGCTGTTCTTTAGGGTGAAATCAGCGCCCTCTTTGAGGAGAGCAACAGCAGTGTCTCCTGGAGAACAGAGGTTAGTGGCTTTTTGACGCCGGTGGTAAAGAGAGTCTTTTTACCGTGTCCCTCTGCAATTGCGTGGTGAAGGGGAGTGAATCCCTCATTATCAGCGGGGTTTAGCGGACTTCTGTTCTTGAGAAGTAGAGTCACCATTGGCACAGAACCGACAGCAGCAGCGCGATGTATGGGATACTGGCCCCTGCGATCGCGTACTCGGGTCGACGCGCCGTTGTCGATGAGAACACGGGCAATATCAAGATTCTTCTTGGAGGCGACGAAGTGAAGGGCAGTCTATATGATGAGTTTAGATGACTCTCAATTTAGATTTCGTGATTGAAGCGTTACCTGTCCAGCAGAGTCTTCAAGGTCCGGTGAGTATATTTGGGTTGATAGATGGAGGGCGAGACTTACTCTTGAGGTTCACGTCCGCGTCTTTGGACATGATAAGTTTGACAACAGCTTCACCCTCTGGAACACTGGCTGAGATCATCAAAGGAGACCACCCGCTTTCATCCTAGAATGCGTCGGTTATTTTGCTGGGGGTGGCAGAAGACTTTCAACGAGAAGTCGTTGCTCACCTGGACATCAGCATCGAAACTGCGTTGGTTGGCTAACAACTGGACGATATCCAAGTTGTTAGAAGAAGCTGCCCAGTGTATTGGATACCGACCATCATTATCCTTTCGTTGCGACAATTTTGGGTCTGACTGTCCAAAGACATTAATGTCTGACCTATACAATTATAAAGGGGAATGCTGACCTTGAGAAGCCCTTCAAAAGCAGTTACTATATTTACCGATTAGTGGTGATCCCAGTCATGGAGTTGTATAATTCATTAAGCATACCTCGGCCCTCCCGAGCAGCAGCATGAAGAGGGAACTTATCATCCGTATCCATACTGCCTACGAAGCAACAAAAGCTGATAACAAAATAAACACTGTTAACAAACTCCCGTCGCGTTGAAGATATCAAACAGTTGCTGCTTGTTAGTGTGACGACCGGCCGTAGGTAGCTGATCATACGTAGATCCCTGTTAGCGCAGAAGAGAGCTAGTAGGAAGTCAAGTAGGTGGAGAGCAAGATAAGGCAGGTAGGTACCCGAACCTCATAGCCACACGTCTGTGGCGCTATTGTGTAGAAAAATCCAGCGCCACACGCGGCTGCCAGCCTTTACACGCTTCCACCACAAAATAGTTCAATTATCATCAACATCACAGCGGTCATCCAGGTACTTTTGAGTCGCGAACACAAGCACACATACATCATGGAGACACCAGAAGTGCCCCAAGATGCTCTTCGACTCAACGCCCTCGCCGCACAAAATGCGAACGTCTCGAGAACAGTATACGCCCATGCATCCGAGCGATCGGCCACAAAGCGCCAGAAGCTAGACGACGCGTCCGAGGACCCCGTCATCAAGAGACGGTTCCGCAACGAATACTCAGATGTCGAGACTTTACCGCCATCAATTACTGCGAAGCTTCCAACGAGACAGCCTGGGAAGAAGACTTCTAAGGCCGGTGTGCCTGCTCGCCCAGCGATGAAACTCCTCGAGGGTGCGCCTAGTTCGGGCAAGGCATCTACTCCTACTACCAGGGACGGAAGTACGCCACAGAACATGAGTCTTACGTCAAGAGGAGTGCAAGGCCTTCAGCAGCAGAAGCCAGAATGGCACGCGCCGTGGAAGTTAATGAGGGTCATTTCTGGTCATCTCGGCTGGGTGCGTAGTCTGGCTGTTGAACCCGGCAACAAATGGTTTGCAAGCGGCGCAGGGGATCGAACTATCAAGATTTGGGACTTAGCCACGGGCTCGCTGAGGTTGACTCTTACTGGACATATTAGTACTGTGCGCGGCCTCGCAGTGTCCCCTCGTCATCCCTATCTCTTCTCTTGTGGCGAAGACAAGATGGTTAAGTGCTGGGATCTCGAGACTAACAAAGTCATTCGTCATTACCACGGACATCTCAGTGGTGTCTATACTCTTGCCCTACATCCAACCCTCGATGTTCTGGTCACTGGTGGTCGCGATGGCGTTGCCCGTGTCTGGGATATGCGGACCAGAAGTAACATTCACGTCCTGTCTGGCCACACCCAGACGGTTTCCGATCTTGTTTGTCAAGAGGCTGACCCTCAAGTCATCACCGGATCCTTAGATTCGACAGTCCGACTCTGGGATCTCGCAGCTGGCAAGACCATGGGTGTACTAACTCATCACAAGAAAGGTGTTCGTGCTCTAGCAACACATCCGTCAGAGTTCACATTTGCTAGTGGCAGCACAGGGAGTGTCAAGCAATGGAAGTGCCCTGAAGGCGCTTTCATGCAGAACTTCGAGGGCCACAATGCTATTATTAATACGATGAGTGTGAACGAGCAAAATGTCTTCTTTACAGGAGGTAAGTGATACGATTCGATCTTACTCACCACATGTGTCTAATCTGACTTGTAGGCGATAATGGCTCCATGAGCTTTTGGGATTGGAAGACTGGCCATCGATTCCAATCTCTTGATACCACAGCTCAACCCGGCTCTCTCGATGCCGAGGCAGGTATCATGAGCTCAACGTTCGATCGCTCTGGCCTACGACTGATCTGTGGAGAAGCTGATAAAACAAGTAAGTCTCTATCTTGCCTTGACATGCTCGTCTTTACCTTGCTAATGCATCTATCCCCAGTCAAAATCTGGAAGCAAGACGAAACAGCAACAGAAGAATCACACCCCCTCGAATGGAAGCCCACACTGGCCCGACGAAAGTTTTAAAGGAGCAATTAGAGGTAGTGTGTTTTTTATATTAAGGATGAATTGTCGCAGGACGCCGTTTGGGTTCTGTACTACACTACAACTATTATACACCGATACCCAACGCCTTAAGGTCTCCGTCATCACGGAGTGCCATTTTTACTTCATCGTCTGCAATAGAAAGACGGAGCTTGCTGGACCTCTCTGCGCGCTGAGCTTCAAGGTTAACCAGGCCGGCTGCTACTAATTCGAGCGCCGCTGTGTGAATGTGACCGGGTCTGGTCATTGGGCGCTGACTTCCCATCTGCGTTCCTTTCAGGCCATTATTGAGAACTGTTGCTACACCTGGAAGGGCTGCTGGAGCTCGAAGGCAGGCACGGTGTATCTCATCGAGGGTATCTCCGAAGGTTGTCTCGGCAAGACCTGTTCTTCGAATACGCAGCAAAAGAGCTGCCATGACAAGCTTGGACATCAAAGGCAAGCTTCGAAGGTGTTGTTGAATGGGATTAGTGGTTGCCTCGTTGATGGCTTTCTTGATTGTCGCAATAGTGACACGACCTGAACCTTTGGGTTGCGATTGATTGTCTCGCTTGCTTGGAGTTGCAGGATCACTAGGAGCGTCGGCCTCGGCGAGCTCTACAGCTCGGCGGCAGATGTCAAGGGCTCTCCGGGCGTCACCACTGACTGCGGCTACCTTTCGGCTGGCGAACTGTATTGCGTCAGGATCTACGATATTCCCAGGGACTCCTTCTAGTCGTGACTGAATGATCTTCATCAGTTGTTCGTGATTGTAACCGGGGAACGTGATACGTGTTAGACCTAAGTTTTTAGTCAATATCACAGCAATGTGTCAGATTGAGATAATACCTAGTCGACTGCTGATCTTATTGCTGAGGGTTCTCTCGGGAAGATCCATGGTGTTGGCAACTGCAAGTACAATAAGACGGCTATGTCGTAAAGTGGGCCAGTTGAAGAAGTTGTACATGACGGCTTGATTCTTGGTGACTAGTTGGTCAAGCTCATCCATGAGCACAACACAAGGAATTCGGCGAGGGCTGGGGTTGCTGAACTCTCGTTCCAGATGATCAAGAGCCTGCGCTGGACTAGCTCTCTCCCCTTTAAGGGCTTCCCAGAGAAGAGTATAGGATTGGTGAGGGTCCGTAATCTTCATACCATTGATCTCCACGAATATGAAATCGTCCAGCTCATCAGAGCCTACAGCGTCTTCGAGCCTGGAGACGACCTCGCGGACCGTCGCTGTTTTTCCTGTTCCGGGTGTTCCAGAAATGTAAATACAGTTACCTGCGCCATCCGAAATAGCTGCTTCGAGGTGAGAATAAACCAGAGAAAATTCTCCTTCCCGACAAGGAAGACTGGTTGGGACTGAGGAGACATGCAGGCGAGATCGTGCTATCTGGAAAGGTGAAGATTCAACTTGACTGGGCGACAGTTTGCGTGTGGCCAAAGGCGTAAACTCAAGTCTCTTGCTTGCACTCCTATAAGTAATTGTTAATAACTAACGCCAGGGAGAGGGGCTTTCATCGCAAACCTTTTGACACGAGAGCCTGGTGTGGCTTGGCTCCTTCGTGAAGTTGGCGTAGCAGCTACTGAGCCCCGTCCTGTTTTGGTTGGCGTCTGCGGGATTTGAGCAGGATGATAAGTATCATCAGAAGGTGATGGACTCCGAGCCTTTCGACGACGTCGTGTGACTTTTGTACCAGCCTTGACCCTATCCATCAAGGCAAACAAATCATGCTCACCCTCATATATTTCCTCCCATATAAACTCGTCTGTATATGTAGCAGTGCGGGTATTGCAGCCTCGTCGACAGACAAAGACCTTACCGAAGTCTGGATCATTTCGAGGAACCTTACCCTGGGGGTATCTCGCAAGAAAACCATCTTGAGACATGATCTTAGCTTTGCCGTTGATTGATGCCAGGGGGTTGATGTCCCATGATGGAGAGATGTAGAGTTCATTCTATAAGTTTTGATTAGTCTACATCCAACAGCGTCAAGAAGTTTCAGGGCTGACTGGGTAGTAATCGGATCGTTTCTTATCCCTACTTCTGATCTCCTTTTCACTCGAAAACCACATAAAGTTCGCTGCTTTCTCTCCCTCGCCATCGTCTTCAACAAATTCGCAGATCAAGGCGATCCAGGCCTCGTTAGAGCCATCGGCTTTGAGCATGACAGCGTCTCCAATTTTGCATTCAAATTGGCCAATCCTTGCCCCGACAATCCTGTCGCCTGTCACTTTTCTTCGTTTTCTGTCGCTCTGTGTTCCATCACCTCGTTCGGTCGTTAGGGTAGAGTTGTAGATCCATTGCCATGATGGTTCTACGTCTGCAAGCTCATCGTCAGATAGATCTTGGGGAATTTTGGACAGTTGACGTTTTGTATTTTCTTCTGAGTTGATGGGGGCCATTATTTTGTCGTTATCCGGTGCCATGTGCTGCCACGGCGATTCACGCGTCCAGGAGACGCGACTGAAGTAAGGAACAAATACTTGGTTGCTATGGGCTATGCATATATCGGGGTGCTGTAGTCTACTACGGAGTATAGATAAGTACCTAGGAAGGTATCTTGAGCAGTTGGTGGACTAAGGTAGTGGGGAATCTCCAACACCTACCAGACACCCTATCATGCGTATTGATACTGTGCCTTTACATGGTCGTACATTTACGGCAACAAAATCATACCTCATAATAGATAAGTTTGAAAAGAGTTATTATACATAGAGAGATGTAATCTATATCTTACTCTTCCACCTTAATAATACTACTACCTAGAACTTTAAAGTTACCCTTTTATATAAATAATTAATAGTATTTTTTAGATAAATAATTTACTCTAACTTTAATAGATATATGTAAGGCTATTCTTGGTTGCCTTATCTATAACCTATGCTAACTCAGACACCTCATGGAATTAAAGAGAAGCTTTAGACTACTAAGGTACCTATGTAAGGTAGGTAGGTATATACAGGTCTGCATCTCCTCAACTAAGGTACATTAATTAGACTTGATGTACCCTATATACTAGGTAGGTACCTTATATACCACTACCTACGACGTAAGGTGGGCAAACACCTGTGAGCTGAAAGCTGAAGTGCCATCCAGTATGCATGATAGCAAACGGGAAAGAGCAATCATGCTTTTTC